ATTGTGTGCTAGCTAGCTATTAAAAACATGAATTTTGCCTTCCCACGCACATTTTCTTGTCCCTGCTCACAGTTGAGCTGCAGTAACTACACCTCACCACCAGGGGTCAGGCCATCTACTATGATGCATCCAACGCGGCCGCTAGGTGGTAGCTCTGCACCAGGATTTCCTCCTCCCAGGTCGTCGAAACAACAAACCGAACTACGGAGCAAGCGGGGTGAGAACGTCCGAAACCGCCTCTGACCGCGACTTTTAAACTCTTTTTTTTCACCCCACACATTTGTAGCAGGATAAAGACAGGGGCGGTATAAGTGTAATAAAAGTTAGGATTGGACCGGGACTACATTTCAGAACCAGGTAAGTTAGCTGTAAAATGGCGGAGAGCTATCTGAACTTAGTTGATTTGTATTTTGCTAGCCGTCTCGTTAGCCATGCTAGCTGTAGGGGAGCTCGGAGCGCGGATGTCTGCCTGAGCCGAGCTCTCGCGGTACATCGCTACTTTGATCTAGCGAACAAGGATTTTTGGGCACAACAGCGTAAAATATACAGTTTGCGTCCAGAAGAAACCTTTTGATATTTCCACTTGCTTACTTATTCATTATGTATTTGTAAACAAAAGTGTTTGTTGCTTGTGCAATACGGTTACTGGAACTCCCGAGGCAAGATGGAGGACGCAAGGACGTGATGTTTTTTTTCTCCCTTTTTTAGGTTAGCCTTAGCTGTTAACATGGCTAACTATTGCTAGTTGTTTTCACCTCGTTAGTCTCAGCGCGTTTTCGGTTAACTCACTCATTCCCAGCGCAAGCATCGCATGCTATCATGACGCACTCAGACGGTAGATGATGCCCCTGGCTAAATTGTTGATTAGCTCACTTTAGCTTTAGCTCGTACAGTAAAGCGTACGTTGTTTTGTTGTTATGAATTTAGAGCAGCTAACGCTGTTAAAAGCTCTTCAAAAATCAAGCTACAGTGCCTCATACGGCTGTGTTTGCTTAACTTGTTCAGCTACRGACAGTTTGTTTGTGCCGAGTGCTTACTTCATCAGATTTCAACTAGCTGACGTCGAGGGAAAGACGATGAGCTCCTCTGTTCCTTAGCTGGTGGCGCTATTAGCACCAGAAGCGCACCGGCGTCAATTTTGACAGGAGCCGACTGTGAGCGCGCCCGCCTCGGCGTAGTTGGAGGGAGTTCCAGGCGGTGGTTTGCGACATTGTTATCGGGTGGTAGTCGCGCATATTGGTCTCACGGTTTCATTCAGTCTCATAATGTGCACCGTAGCCTCGCAGTGGGAACTTTGTTGCGATAGGCACCGTCCGATTTGGCGCCACTTTTTCAGCGTACACCCATAAAWTCGTGCCGTCTTGTTGTGCAAGATCCCATCACTAGCTAGGAAGCACGCACGTTATCTAGCAACACGTAAAATATTTTAGCATTGGAAAAAAAAATCACACAAACTTGCAGCTGCTCTTTTAACAAATCAGTGTGGTTGCACACCTAAGGAGCTAAGAGTGTTACTCTTTTTTGATTGAATGCCAGTGATGTAAACCTTTTATTTACATATATTTTTAAAGTGTGTATTTTTGTAACTGCTGTGATCGTTTCAGATGAGTATAGTTGTCAGTACTGCCTGTAGTAGACTTCCTGTTGGATTAGAATATTGCATTATGGCTGCAGTTTGTCTGCAGTTCTTCCCAGGACGGAAAAGTCAGTTCTAGGGGAGACCCCTGGTTTTAGGACTGCGCTCAGTACTCATATGCATTATTTTACACATCACAACTATGCAATACTTTGTGTGGCCTGCTGTATATTGTTGATGTTGACGGTGCAGTTTGATTGGTTTACATTGTATGGGGCGGATTGGGCACTACCATATAAGGCCACTGAGGATGATACTTCAATCTTGCTTTCATGACGTTGTCTGTAAAACAAGGAAAACTGGGAAGCAGGGGACCAATGGGAGGAGGGCATGCATGACAGTAGCTTTTGTGTCTGCCCCYCTGTTACCATGTGAAACTTTTTTTTCTCCCCTCCATGCATGCATCGTGGAAGTTTTTTTTTCTTCTTTTTTTAGCTTACTGACCACTCTGTTTTCTATTTCAGGTCACATGCAACCTACCTTGTCTCATTTTTCACAGAGGACCTCAAGTCAGATCTAAGTTGACGTGATCCAAAAGATGTTACAGAAATGATAGCAGCACCAGAAATACACTCAGAGTTCGCCTACACTCAGTAAGTACCACCTTTTCTTTTGTTTTTTATTATGACAAAGGTACTACAGGTTCTTATTCCATTATTTGTCTATTTCTATCAGGGACACAGATACTAGATTTTCCTCAGACACAGACTTTTCTGAGGATCCTGATGGAAGAAGTACAACTAAAGGAAAGGTATGAAATGCAGTTAGCCAGGGTTAAAATTCTTTAAACCTTTTTGCTTTTTCAGTTGTTCGTTGTAGTTCTGGTGTTTTATGATGTTGTGTGCTTTGTGTAGGGTGGGAAGAAGGGGAAGAAAGGTGCAGGAGAGAGAGGCAAAGGAGGAAAGGGTGCAGGCCGGATAAATGGCCACCATCAAGAAAATGGCATGGAAAACATCATGCTGTTTGAGGTGGTGAAGCTGGGCAGAAGTGCAATGCAGGTAATGCCGAGAGTGTGTTATAATTTAATGCAGGTTTTAAAGGCCGTCTTTGTTTATTTAATAAGTAGTTACATTTTAAATCTACGTTTTGTTTTCCAGTCGGTAGTTGATGAGTGGATCGAGTCTTACAAACATGACAGGGATGTTGCACTGCTAGATCTCATCAACTTCTTTATTCAGTGCTCAGGATGTAAAGGTACGTTGGCATCTCTCCAGAAGTTGTCCTTTGGCTCTTTTCACATGTTTTGAAGCCAGCGCAGTTTCTGGCCACTTTTTGTCCYCTAACTCTGCATTGTTTATTAGGTGTGGTCACCGGAGAAATGTTTCGAAACATGCAGAACTCTGAGATCATTCGACGAATGACTGAGGAATTTGATGAGGTAACTGATTTTGCCTGATGATCATTAACATTTTAGACTAAAATTCACATTCAGAAATGTGTTTTCAAAAAAAAGCAGTTTTTGTTTTATTTCCCCCCCACTAAAAACAACCAGATGTGTTTTTGTGTCTGACCTTAGTTCTGTTTCCTCTGCAGGACAGCGGCGATTACCCTCTAACCATAGCCGGGCCGCAGTGGAAGAAGTTCAAAACAAGCTTTTGTGAATTCATTTCGGTGCTCGTGCGCCAGTGTCAGTACAGTATCATCTATGATGAGTACATGATGGACACAGTCATCTCCCTTCTTACCGGACTATCAGACTCCCAAGTTCGAGCCTTCAGACACACCTCAACACTGGCAGGTAGGATGAATTAATCCTGTGAAGTACAGCTGAGTGTCAGTCTGTAAGAGAGTTTTAAAGGGATCCCTGATTAGTTGTAACATTAGACTTTATTTGATAAACATATACTTTAACTGTAAAAATACTGTAGGATGTTCAGTTT